GGAGTTCTTAAAGGCGCGCGCTTTGTCTTCCTTGTAAAGATATAGAAACAACCACCACCACCACCAACCAATATATTTCTACATATTTACTTTCATGTGTAGTTTTTATTACAATTTAGTTAGACATTATAATTTAGTTTTGATATCAAATATTAGTATCGTAGGCCTTCACAGATGATGAGCCACGCCTTTTATGTGGATATACTGTGAATAAACCGCTATTATTATCGCTGAGAAATCAACTGAATGCTACATTCTAATCAGGCAGCACAGGGCGGAAACCGTAACCTGTGAGCCATGGAGTAAAAACTAAATGTACATTAACTAATCCTTAAAAGCTTTTCCGTTGTGTCTACGGTCCTCCTTCTAAGAGGAACTCAAACTGCCTCCTTGAAAGTCCGGGCAATACTCAGCGTGCCCGAGAGCACTGCCCTCTGCATCTTTCGCAGTACGTCTGTGCTTCTGCCTCCCACCAGCTCGCGCATCATGACATCCAGCTCTCGTGACCACCCCCCGAGGGCATCCATAATGATGTTATATTGCTTCACCTCGTGGCGTGGGAACTGCTGCCTTAGTTCCCAGATCTATAGTTATTATTATTATTATTATCATTATTATTGTGAGAATTCTACAGTTAAATGCTGATCTATAGTAATACTAAGATCCTTGATTTCCTCGACCTTCTCCAAATGGTACTCTTCAGACAGAAACTTGGTACTTAGGGCTGTATCATGATGTTATTTGTGATCTTCAAAATTTTGCGGACAAAACTCGTGTTTGAGGAAAGAGTTTTGTCATTTTGTCGGGTTTCCCAAGTAATGGCGATCTACCCGAAAACTATGACCAAAAGACAAGGCAACAACGAACAAGAAATATCTTAAGACCAAAGAATTATTTAAAAAATTGTTAATTTGCTAATAAGAGACTTTATGAAACAACGAATTTCGTTCATGCACGAGACCACTTAGTAGATTCAGCTTGCTTAAATCGTTATTTACAAAAATTCACGGCCATAAAATTTCGTTGGTTTGGGATGAACGTTCTTAAATTGTATGATTTAAAAGTCAAAATCTTCTCTTAAACAATACTTTTTGGGCATATCAACATTTAAAAATAATGCTCATCATTCGAAAAATCAAGCTTAAAAAGATTTTTATTTCTTGCGTTTACGCGACTCGCGTGGTTGATTTACCATATCAGAATTTACGAGCAGAAAATTGCGAGGTTTAGAAAAAAAAAGAAAACGGTTTTTAAACATATTAAAGCTTAAAAATAGTATTTACCGCTCTAAAGAATTGTTCCATACATTGCAAAGTCTCAATTAAAGTCAGAAAGATCCGTTCAGTTGTTCTTTTCCAGCCACTTTAGCCGAGAGACCCTATTCGCCCATATCCACGAAGGCTTTGGTACAACGCAGACTGAAGAGAATAGAGACTTTGACGGTGCGTAAAAACCGATCCACCCCTTCCCTCCAAATATGTGCTTCTTACTTCTAAAAGACGAACTTTCCTGTGTTTGTCAGATGATGAGTTTGACCAAGTTCATGAATATCTCACAAGTTTGAGTTTCAATAAGACGTCTGCAACAGATACCACGCCTTGTTAAATATATTGGAACATCTATTTTGTAGATTTGTAAGCACCAAAAGAAAATACGTGTTTTGTCTGTGTTATTGCATTAAGTCTTAATGGTTGAATAAAATAAAAATATTTGAAGGTGTAGTCTGATCGTCCGGGTGAGTGTAGTCCTGAGAAGGACTGTTGTCGGTGGCAGTGACTGACGTTTCGACAACCTGTGCGGAAGTCATCATCAGAGTCAAGTGAGTGATTGTTGTCAGTAGAATGTTCTTATTCCAGTTCGTGTGAAATGATCGGTTGGTTTTGCCGTGATGTTATTGGCTGTAAGACTCAAGTGACGTAAGTCGTTCGTGATTGGTCTGTTTCGGTCTGTCGGTAAAGCTAGGTTGTTCTTTTTCGGTCGTTTGTGATGTTTATGTCGTGAATGAGTCGTTTGTATGGGGCGGGTAGTTGTTGACATCTGTTTAGGGGAGTCTGTTCTAAGTTAGTAAACCAGCTTTCCAGAGTCAGTCGTTGAAAATAGTCAGTGCTGTAGGTTAGGCATTGCGCAGAGTCCCAGTCAATGTTGTGGTTGGTAAGTCGATGGTGTTCAGCAATGTGATTGCTGACATCACCTTTCCTCGTCGCCCGTCTGTGTTCAGTCAGTCTTGTTGTGAGGTTTCTGCCAGTCTCACCGATGTAGGAGGCTTGGCAGTCGGAACAATTGATCTTATAAATCGTTCCCTGTCTGTTCCTCGGTTCGTCTTTGTCTTTAACGTTGGTTAGTAACTGACGTAGTGTGGTGATGGGTTTGTGGGCGACGCGGATATTGAAGGGTAGTAAGATGCGCGAGATGTTTTCAGACATGCCTTTTATGTACGGTATGGTTGCTGTAGTCGTAGGGGTTGCGGTGTCGTTTGTTTCGGTAGTGGTAGTGGGTCGGT